AAAGAAGACTGCTGACAACTATCCAAGAGTGCTAAGAGCTCTTGAGAAAAATGTAAAAACATTTTACATACTATCCCATATATTGCTAATAAGTATATATTAGCAATATATTGCTAATAAAGTTTATTTTCACAAAGACTTGGTTAAAGTAAAAAACCTAGTAAATCTGATTCCTCTACTGATAAAACTAAAGACTATTCCATGAACCTATACTGTATGGATAATCTAAGCAATGAACTAAGCTTTAAAAACGAAACCTTTACAAAGAAAGCAAGTAGATAGTTGAAAGCAGGGGTCCTCAAACTACGGCCCGCCAAGGACATTTACCCGGCCCGCCAGGAGTTTTTGCCCCATTTGTTTTTTCACTTCAAAATAAGATCTGTGCAGTGTGCATAGGAATTTGTTCACAGTTTTTTAAAAACTATAGTCCGGCCCTCCAACGGGTCTGAGGGACAGTGAACTGGCCCATTTAAAAAGTTTGAGGTCCTCAACTTTAAAGTATAAGATCCATGTAGATGTATTTATTTCTTAAATTACTTTGGAATTTACAATAGAGGATATATGTTTGTCATGGGTGTGAAAACTAATAGGAATATGAAGAGTTTTCTCATAATAGTCACTTCTCCAACAGAATATTTATACAAAAATTAATGAAATAGAAACCTCTATGTTAAAAGACTGCACTAAAGTTTGGCAAATAAATTATAATGTGTTGAATCACTGAGAATAAAAATATGATGATGATCAACATGGCAATGTAAAAAAATATACTTTTGAATGTAATATTGCCTATTTAACCACCAACAAGCTTGTATCTCCAAAAACACATCATGTTTGATAGGTAGTACCATAAATATTACACCCGAGTAGTTATAAATTTGCACTTGGCTAAAAACTGAAAGCTTGGCATTTAATTGAAAATGCCATTCTATTGACATATGGTGTTGCACTGTGAGATAGTTTATTGTGCCAGCCTGGCTGATAAACACATGTTGGATTTACTGAAGGGCAGAGAGATAAATGGCTTGGTGAGCCTTACCTTTCTTGTCTCTCGCTCTTTGATCATCGGACCAGTGTGCGGCTGCCTTACTTGTTCTGTGCCTCAATTTGCAAGCTACACTATCTGTGGCACACCTAACCTGTGGACTGTGTCACTGTAATTTGAGGTTCCTTTAAGACCTGAGCTTCGCCACACAATTGGAATTTACATCTCTTGAGCTGGGGACTGACTGTTGGTGACCTGTCTTGCTGTTTGCTGCCTGTGCCGGGATAGCCTGAAACTCTCTACAGAGGACGACCTGGCGGCCCTCAAGACTTGAAGGACTGCCAGTGCCTCGCAACTCTCTAACATGTTTGAATTATACTGAGCCATTTGTACTGTTTTATAATTTAACTGTTTATTTCTTGTGTTATATATCTATCTATCTGATAACTGCTTTATAATCTGTTTATTTCTTGTATTATATATATATAATTATTAGCAATCTGGTTTTGTCTCTCTAGAGAACCCTGTCTAACACACCCTGGGTGGAAATGACTTGACAGTGAGGGCTTTTTTCCCCATAATTAGCACAAATATATCTTTATCAGGTTATTAATGGTTCCATTCAGCACAATAACTTTTCCAAAATATACTACCAATTACTGAACGCATTAAGCTATTCTCTGTAGCCTAATTCTCATCTTGAATCAGATAGTTAGAAATTTAGCCTACAACTGATGTAACACTGCTACCTGTCTTAAACACTGTATCTTTGGAGAAATAAGCTTACTATACACTTTCTAAAGGTAGAGTCCAATTTTCTTTGGTAGCTGGATCTATAACACTTGAAGAATTACAAGTAACTAAACTGAAATATTCTGTGATTCACAATATAGTCAGGAGCGTAAGAACAAATCCTAAGTGCAAGATAAGTATGCAAACCAAAGTCACGTCCATTCTTTCCTTAATACGATGGCCATAATTGTAATTAAGGAGCAAAAACCTATTTGTTAGCAGAAAGAACACAGTTTGGTAGCTAGATGAAGATAATTATTGAATAACAAAGCTGGCCTACCAAAATTAAAATTCTGTTGGAATAAACAAACTCATTTTGGGTCAAGACAAAGGTAAGAGTGTAAGAGGTGGTAAAAGAGCACCAATGTATTTAGCCTCTTCCCCAAATTATGAGATAAAGACAGAAAAGTATTTGTGGTAACATTGCTTGGGGGAGGGAAAAGACCCTCATTGTAACAATTTAATTTTTTTGGAACTGTAAAGTCACTCCTACAAATTACAGTCTCAGATATAACATACAAATGACCAGTTCCCAAGATGTGACATCTACCATGGGCTTCACTGGGCTTCTGGGAAACATGAATGAGAGAGAACTCTACTAGAAGATGGTCAGTTAGCTTTCTCCAGAGTAAAAGAGCCATCCCATCATACGGAAAAATGTCCCTGGATATTTCCAGGGATAGAAGACTAGAAGAAAATGAACACAGCAATAGTTCAGTAGTCATGAAGTCGGATGCCATCTCCAAGAAAGGCAGAATTAATTCCTTTGTCTTTGAAGAGTTTAGAAAATTTAAGTTTTACTTCAATGAAACCAAGAAATATCTGAGAGTAGAGACATAATAGAATTGCTATCCATCAAGAAATAGAGGACAAATGTTAGAGTGAGTAAAAGCTTAGATCAGTGGTTCTCAAACTTTCTAATGCCATGAACCTTTAATACAGTACTCGTGTTGTGATGACCCACAACCATAAAATTATTTTCGTTGCTACTTCCTAACTGTAATTTTGCTACAGTTATGAATCGGGCAACCCCTGTAAAAGGGTCTTTCAACTCCAAAAGGGGTCACAACCCACACACAGGTTGAGAACTGCTGGCTTAGATGAAGAAATTTAGGGAATGATTTTATAACCCTAAAATGTGGCTTGAATCAAAGAGTTTGCAACTATGGATAGCAATTATATGGCAGGAGAAAGGAATTGGATATTAAAAATCTGAAACAATTTTAAGTTCCTGTCTTCATATAATCCTCTAGCTCCAATTGACTGTCTAGCCGATTGAAACCAAAATGTAATTTGTTTTCTTAAAAAAGCATAATCCTCTACTTCTTCCAAAATTACAGACTATCTAAACCCTAGGCTAATGTTTTGTTGTTGTTGCTGTTAATCCTAGGCTAATTTATTTCTTCAGTCAATAGTTGATAAAAGCCTTTTTAAGTGTTAGTCTATAATTGACTATTATCAATTCACTACATCTTCTAAAAAAATGCTTTAGAAACCAGAGTTTTGTTTGATCTGTACTTTCCTTTGTGGAAAGCAATCATTTACAAAACGAAATACCAAGTCCAGGAAATCACTCAATGCCATGAGTTGATTCTGACTCATAGCAGCCCTACTGGACAGGGCAGAACTGCTCTTTTGGGTTTCCCAAGACTGTGAACATATATATGTGCAAGCAGACAGCCTCGTTCGCCTTGGAGCTGTTGGTGGTTTTGAATCGCAGACCTTGTGGGTACCAGCGCTGTGTGTCACCCATTAAACCACCAGGGCTCCAAGCCCAGGAAATAGATGGATTCTAGTTGACTACAAAATCTTAATTATTATTATAGTTTCAGTAAATAATAAAGCCTACTTTGCATCATGGTTGTTCTCTAATACAGAACTCTGAGGTCTCATTTATGTATAGAAATGGATGCAGATTTTTTTCTAAGTGAAATTCTAGTCCTGAATCATAAGCTAATTCTTTAATCCATCAGTATACTGAGATGGACTGTCTATACATTTATATACTATATATACTTGAGTATAAGCTGACCCGAATATCAGCCGAGGCACCTAATTTTACTACAAAAACTGCATTAAAAATGTGCTGAAAAACTCAGCTTATACACGCGTATACACAGTAGTTATTTCGGAGCCCAGGTGAAATGTGTCTCAGTGTTCAGCTGCAACCTGAAAGGTCAGTGCTGTGAACCCACAGGAGAAAAGACCTGGGAAGCTGTTCGCGTAGCAATTATAGCCTAGAAAACCCAAAGGGACAGCTCTACTCTGTCGTAGAGGGCGCGTGCGGAGGAAGTGACTTGAGAGCACAAGCCACTGCCTTGTGCTAACTCGAGCTTTACCTGTTTGCACTGTGTCTTTTGACTTCTGTTTTGAAAATAAAGATTTTTCAGGAAAAAATTCCGAAAGCTAACTTTTAGAAATGTGCTTTAGAGAAGTTTTATATTTCTAATCTTACTGTGTGATATTTCCCTCATTTTTTATTTCAGAAGAGGTTTAGAAATACTGAGTCTTCTTACACGAAAGTCTTCTCAGAAATCCTTTCAATTATGAGGGTGTCAGAACGTACTGATACAAAATTATAGACCTTATTATTCAACAATAATATCAAAATTCAAAGCTACTATTTTACTGACATAGTCTCCATCTGAGTCTAAAAGCTTCTGAAGTGCTGTTTCCAAAAGAATGACCCTTCTTCAAAGAAGTATGCGCTCTCAGATTTATACCACACCAAAATGGCAGGCTGGGCATCCTCCAGGGACTTAAGCTGTGTCCCTTTGAAATGTGTTTTGGGAACAAAGCATCCGAAGGGGCAAAATCAGGCTGTAGGGTAGAAGGGGTAAAGTTTCCCAGCAAAATTCTCATTGGACAGCCCTTGCTACCCTCAAAGAATGAGTAGCTGTGTTGTCACAATGGGAAATAATGCCTTGGTCTAACCTTTCCAGGTCTTTTCCTCACCAATGCAGTCTTAATTTGCTTATAATTTCTTCCTATTAGGTGCCCGGGGATCATCCTGTGCATCCTTCAAGAATATCTATCATGATTACCCATTAGAAAAAATCAAAAGCAGTTTCCATACTTTCTGGACTGACTTTTCTGCCTTGAATTTAACTGATTCAGTAAATCCTCTGCTCTCTGGATTGTACTGGTAAATCCAAAATCCATTCATAGTTACAACTTGTTCCATAAAATGCTGTTCAGTAGCTTTGATATTGCTTAAAAAACTGGAGGGCAGGTTAGCTCTTTGAGCTAGCTGATCTTTACACAATGCGTTTGGCACCTATCATGCTGAACGCTTGAAGCCAAGACGTTCACTAAAACTGAAAATGCAGAATGATGTGAGCTCCCAACTTCAGTAGCTATCAGATCAGTGGGAATTCTATAATCGTTTCTGCTAGTTTCTGGACTTCACTCAGTTTCTTTATTTAAGGTTGATGGTCTGTCTTCTCTCCACTCATCCCTGAGGTCTTCCCACCTTCCTCGAAAGTGTTGATCCATCTAAAAACTGATGTAAAGTTTCAAGGATTCGGAAACATGTCCATTTGGGTTTTGCTAAAAATGTGTATCAATCAGTCCTGACCTCAAATAATTTTTTTACCATGACACAAGAAGTATCTTCTTTTAAAGGCACTCTAATGAGACTAAGACAGGTGTATTAATGAAGCATTTGCCTGAAGCCATTCACTCATCACAGAGATATTTTTAACATGCTATTTTTAAAATTTGCTACCATAGTAGCAGTACTTTTTGATTTACCCTCATATGGGTCAAATTTAGAAAAACTTGGAAGCTAATTACAGTTTTTCAAAATTTCTCAGCTTGGAAGTAAAGACAGACAAAGGATATAGTATCTGGGGTCTTAAAAGCTTGACGGTAAACAAGCGGCCATCTAGCTCAGAAGCCACAAAGCCCACATGGAAGAAGCACACCAGCCTGTGTGATCACAATGTGCCGAAGGAATCAGTTATCTGGCGTCAGAGAACAAAAAATCATATCATTGTATGCTCACCTCCATGCTACGATTGCTGAAGACAAATCGCTGAAAACAAATGGGTGCATAAGCAAATGTGGCAAAGAAAGCTGATGGTGCCCGGCTATCAAAAGGTATAGCATCTGGGGTCTTAGAGGCTTGAAGGTAAACAAATGGCCATCTAGCTCAGAAGCAACAAAGCCCACATGGAAGAAGCACACCAGCCTGTGCGAT